TACACGAAAACGAAGAGCTGCCACTGCTGGGGTCAGTCTGCCACGTTCTAAATCTCGTCGTATAAGGTTAGTGATCAACTCGATCGTTGATCGACTCTAGTTGATCGTGTTAGTAATTATGTTTTAATATTATTTAAATTTGTTATAAATTTGACGAAATATTGAAGTGTTTATTGGCAAAAATCATAAGTAAACTTTTATTACATAAGAGATGTATATTTAGGTATTGAAGTTTGTGTCTAGAGTCGATCAACGATCACTAACCTTATACGAAGAGATTTAGAGAGTGGCAGACTGACCCCAGCAGTGGCAATCTTCGTGTTCGTGTACCCCGACGGCGTTCCCGGACCCCGGACCATTTAATCGAGACATAAATATTTCATCGCCAATGATGGGGCTGCCATGTGTTCTGACGTAATGCATTGGTGTCGAGATGCCCAAATCTGCTCATTTCCTCCAGCCAATCACGTAATTGGTCACGTGATCAAGTTGGCGATTCTCTCTACTAGAGGTTCTCTAGGCCGGACTGTTCGGGTAAGGTTAGTTGCAAATGACGCCCAACCATAAGAATTCATTCATTTCAGCGGACTCCCTCCCAATTAGGGGTCACGGACTAGGACCATTTACGTTTCACAGAGTTCGATCTCCTTCTCTCTTACTTCATGGATATGACAAACGAAATGTACGCGTAGATCAACCTCAGCATCGTTTTCATATAAAACATCTCAAAATCAAAATCGTCACAGGTCGAGGTTGCGGCGGTCGTATATTCAATTATGGTGGCAGATTCACTTCGCCATTGTATCCCCATACGTATCGCAACAATACCTTATGCACTTGGGACGTGAGCGTACCGCAAGGTTTTAAGATTATTCTTCAATTCCTTGTCTTCGACATCGGGACGAAGAAGACCTGCAGCAACAATAATCTCAAAGTTTACGACGTTGTTCCCAGCGGAGAAATTTTACATAGCACATACTGCGGCGGAGTAAGTGATTTTGTAAAATAATACATTCTCTCTCAAATATCGTTATCGATAGAAACTACAATTAAAAGAACTGATTAAAGAACTTTCTTGTGAGAATTTCTGTTTGGCAAAACTACATTTTTAATAATAATAATAAATGTAAAATTAATTAGTGGGCAATTGAGAGCTAAGAGTAAACGTAGTTATCCATGCGTGTAATCAATAAATGTATTTAATTAAAGACGGTCTTACATTGAGTTCGCAAGAATTTCGCAAATTAATTATTTCGAACATTTCCGCTCCATTCGAGCCATTATTAGTGAAGTCAAACAATAGTTGCTGGCATTATTCACACCACTAAGGTCTGAGTGAACAGCCACAAGAGCCTCTTTAATTTGATATTTTGAAAAATCTCAATACCGATTAACTGTTTAATTAAGTGTGTCACTAAAAGTTGACATAGAAATTAAATTAATAAATTATAAAATTAAAATTAAAAAATAAAAAGTATATAAAATCAATCGAAGAAACTCACCAGTTGCAAACTCTGATTTTATATTTTTAATTTTTCTTTAAATTTTATTTCAAATATTTCTTAAAATCTTATTTCTATGAGATATATAATATAATTGAACATTTTTATAATGTATTTAATTACATAATAATAATTTAATTATTATATAATAATTAAACATATTTTAATTACACAAACACAATTAAAGATATTTTTTATGTAGGATGATCCAGCAAGACTGGAGGCTGATACCAATCGAGTTCTCGTTAAATATACTTCGACAGTGAATAATATTGGATCGGGTTGGGTAATTGTATTCATGGCACAATCAACTGGTAAGCATAAACGTTTATTTTTACATAATGAAATATTTAAATTCTTTTATAAAAACCACAAATCACACAGATGTGAGGTAAGAGCTAGGTAATAATTACGAAATAATATTTACAGTGCATCCCATTGACATAATAGAAAATTTGTAAAGGAGACATCAAGACTGCAAAAAGTAATGTTTTTTAAATATAAAATTTAGTGACAGATGAAATCAATGTATAATTTACTATAGATATATGAAATAAATAAATTTGTTCGCTATATATGTACATAGAACACATTACTTCAAAATTTTCGTAATATTATCATTAATATATAATATAAACATTTATTCAAAACCTTCGTAATAACATTATTATTATACCTATATGAATATTATTATAATTCATATATATTATTATTAATACATGAATGTTATTTATTCCGATGTTATACAATCTTTGTCTTACATAGATCATATACCTGGATATGCCTTTACTTATAAACAAGGACAGTAAATGACATGTATCTTTTATCGAAATGACGTAAGCGAGACATGTTCACCAGTTTGAAATGTCTCATGCAATATCATTTTTAATTTATAGCTTATAATAATCGACTACAAATCTTGCAAAAATGATAAAACAATGAGCATGTGATGTTTATTGGAAGAAAAATAACAAACTTTTTTTTACTTGTAAGTATTTAACGGTATTATAATTTCCCCAATAGAAAAATTTTGCTAAAATTATTTCACATTTTAGAATATTTTTTAACGAAATTTTATTATAATTTCAGAAAAATTTAATTTAATTTGAAAACATTGCACGTTTCTATTTAGAATTTTTTTTTTTATTTAATATTATTTGTTTATTGCGCGGCCGGGCACGAGCGAAGCGAGTGCGTACGAGCGTCCGTACCGACCTATAAACAAATATGCCCCCACTCGCTACACATAGAATTTTTCATTACAAGTGCTCGTCGTAATGTGCCCTATACAGCAACGTTTTTGCGCAGAAGAGTGGGATTAGAGAAATAACAACTTGAGGTATTGGCTATTTACCGCATGCAAAAGCGTTAAGGTATAGGGCACATTACGTACACGCGTGATGAAATAGTATATTGTGTAACCGTGGGGGAATGTTGTTTATTGTGGAGACGGGCGCGACGGTACGAGCGAAGCGAGTGCGTACGCGCGCCCGTGTCGACCTATAAACAAATATGCCCCCACTGTTACACACAGAATTTTTCTTTACAAGTGCACTATAACTTCTTTAATGTGCGCTATACCTTAACGCTTTTGCATGCCCTATACAGCATCGTTTTTGCGCAGAAAAGTGAGATTAGAGAAATAACTTAACGGCTTGAGGTATTGTTTATTTACTACACGCAAAAGCGTTAAGGTGTAGGGCACATTACGTGCTCGCGTGAAGAAAAAAATATTAACATGCGCGTATATTTGTTATCATATATATTTGACCTCAAATCGCGCTACCTGTATTTCTCAAAATTCATAACTATAAATTGATTCCCCATTTTTGTACGATCTAACTTTGCCAAATCCCTTGGGAAAATGATAGTGGGCCGTGCTCCCGACATAACCAAACCCACGCGCCCTTTGGAAAATTTTTGTGGTTACACAGTGTTATGAGAACAATCGTTCTTCACGATATTAATTATTAATTAGAATAATAATTTGTAAACGTATACTTATGAAGATATATGTGATTGAAAACTATAGTTAACTTACACTCTGAAATCTTGAATCAAATATAGTGTTCTAGGTGAGAGATTAAACTATATACAGGGTGTCCAGGAAAGAGACGATTTCCTTTTAGGGGGAGATTCTTGAGATAATTTTAAGACAAAAATTCTAATACCAAAATGTTGAGGCTATAATAACTTTTGAATTATAAGCGTTTAAAATTAACGAATCATATCGTCTAAAGTTGGCGCGCTCAGGAGCGGCATAACGCAAAGTACTAAACGCGAAACAGTTCTGACGAACCACTCGGCAGAGGCGGACGCGTTTCTGTCGGGTGCTTTCTACCGTATATTTTTGAAAGTGTTGCCGACTTTGACCGTGCATTGTTTTGTCCTTTTTGTTCGTTTTTATAATTTTTTCGTACGATTTTCATTATAAACGATTTTCATTAAAGACGTGATCTGGCAGTATCGCCTTCCCATTATTTGGGAGGCGTGGTGCCATAAGTTTGAATTACTCGATGCGTGTCCGCGGTTGTGCTCGTCTTGATTGCTCGTCATCTTGCACCCTTCGACGACTCGGGCTCTCATGACGCGCGTTGTTGCGACGTGACGACGTCGTAGACGCAGGCGCCCAGATACCGGTCGAGCAACGCCATTCTCGCGGGCATTGCATCATCCGCTCGACAGACATTTTGATGCGATATTCATTTTTTGACGTGATCTGGCCGTATCGACCTACCTATTGTTTGGAGGCGAGAGCCATTAAATAAATAAGAAGAAGAAGAAGACTAAACGCGAAAACTTATCACTTTTTTTGTCAATATTGATTTTAAGAGATTACATATATGAATATAAGATGTTATTCTATTGATATTTCTATAAATGCATTATTCAAATATACTTTAAACATTTTGATCCTGACGTACGGGCTTTATTTATCAGATTAAGAAAAACATTCGGTCTTGGAGCTCTACGATTTGGAAATTGTTCTGCGTATCCGCGCGCAGCTTCGTGTGAATTCTGATTACTTGCGCCATAAATAAGGAACATATCGCAATATTCTTGTATAGTCCATATTGTATTCATTAAACACGAAGAAATAAATATTCAAAATCAAACGAATATACAGGACTCTTAGTATTAAAAATTGTCAATGAAATAAAAAGGCAATTAAGAGTCAATATTATTTGTGTGAACTAATAAAACATTTAATATATTATAAATTAAAATAAAATAACAATAAGCTAAAAATCCATACTTTAAAAGCGCACGCAAACATAAGTCAATTCATAACGTTTCGGCTGCATATTCGAGCCATCCTCAGATGTACATATAAATATTAATTAACGCAGTAAAACATCTTTAGTTAACGCAGAAAAAACAAGAAAAATACTATGATGGATTGTTATAAAACGTTGAGTATTTCCACAGAGAGAACAATTTAGCTCATCAAGCGATTGGAAGATCGTTTGTGATGTATCCCTGTGGTACTAATAAGGACACAAAATTAACGTTATATTAATAAAATAATGTGACAAGCAATTGTCCCTCTGACAAAAAACTCACCCTCGAGTAATCCATGTCGTTAAAAGAGTCATTTATTAAAATTCGGTGACGATCAAAATCATTATTTTGTTAACACATTGCAAATGCAAGTCGTTCCAAATATAAAACTTTTATAACCGTCCAACTAACTCGACGTACAAAACTATAATGTTTAAGATTTTGGTAATGCAAAGTCATATCTTGTTTATAATAGGAATATATGCTTCATGTAGATCTAATGTGTCTGTTTGTAGGTTAAGACTGTTTTGCTGTTTTTTAATGTTGAGCATCTCTGCGACAATACGTTTCCCATAACACGGTTCTTCATCTAAGATTTGTACATTATTCCAATCGAACTCATGTCCTTGTTGCAATCTGTGATCTGTTATCACCGATTTAGAGCTCGTATTCCATCTAATGTGATTACGGTGTTCTGCAATTCGTGTTTTTAATTTCCTTCCTGTTTGTCCCACATAAGACGCATCGCAGTCGTTACAATTTATCTTATATACCACATTAGTCTTAGACATATAATCAAGTGGATCTTTATGTACTTTAATATATTTTCTTAGCTTATTAGCACTATAATATGCCACCTTGATATTGTTTCTGTTAAATTGTTTGAATTTATCTGTAAGTCTCGGTACATATGGTACTATAAACCATGAAGGAAGCTCCGATGATTCTCCCTTATTCTTGTCATTTAAACCATTGTTATTATTTGAACTATCGTGTGCAATGTTCTTGATCCTGTCATTGATACAATCAAAAATTAATTTCAGAGGATAATCGTTTTCAATTAAAATTCTTATAATAAATATTAAATTATTACTATGGAACATTGGATGTGATAATATTAACGCTCTGTCTACTAAACCAATGATTATACTTTTCTTTTGTGATAATGGATGGTTTGAATAAAAATTGAGAAATCTACCCGAAAATGTGGGTTTTTGGTACCAGTCAAAAAATAAGTTATTGTCTTTGATAATGATCGAAATGTCAAGAAAATTTAAAGAATTTGTTCCGATTTCTAACGTAAATTGTAACCGTGGATGAAAAGAATTAAAAGCCTTAAAAAAAGAATCAATCTCAGAACCTCGAACAGCCGCACACAAGTCGTCAACATATCGAAAATAAAAGAGAACGTTGTCTTTATACAACATCAAGGCAGTTCTTTCTAGTCTTTGCATAACCAAATCTGCAACGATGGGAGACAACGGAGAGCCCATCGGTGTCCCAAAATTTTGTTTATAAATGATATTGTCAAAAGTAAAATAAGTAGAATCTAAAATAAATGTGATGGCTTTTATAAATTCAATTTGTGAAATATCGCAATTATTGGAAATATATGTCCATTTTTCGTTAATACAATCAATTGCCATATCCATCGGTATATTAGTAAATAATGATATTACGTCCAAAGAAATCAATTTGTATTCTTCACTTATATGCATTCCTTTTATAGTATTGACCAATTGGAAACTATTTTTTATGTGACTTTCGGCTTTAGGGACCGCTTCAAACATTATACTATGTAAATATGACGCTAAAAGATGTAGTGGACTACCAATGGAAGAGACAATGATCCTGAATGGACAATTAGCTTTATGAATTTTGGGAAGAGCATACGCCCTCGGCAGTGTCCCATCACTGATGTACAAAAATCTATATTTAGATTCATTGATGTATTCACATCTCTTCCATCTTGAAAGCATATCTCTGAGAGCTGTTGTAATTTTCTTTGTGGGATCTTTTTTTATTACAGAATAAGTGTTTTTATCATTAAGCATCTCTTTCACATTGTTAATATAAAAATCTTTATCTAAAACAACTGTTGTGTTGCCTTTATCAGCATGTGTGCAGATAATGTTAGGATGAGCTGACATAAAGTTTTTTGTCTCTTTTTCTAGATTTAACAATTTTGTTTCTATCGTTG